CCCCCTCTCCTCCACAAGTTATACTGACATCAAATATAGTGAAAGCAGGGGTTATACTGTGGGGGAGGGACATACAAAGCAACAAAGAGATAGTCTTATAAATGCGTTAGAAACACATGCATGAAAGAAAAAACATTAAAATACATGTCTAAGGGTCCATGAGAATCTTACTTCCAATTAATCACCAGAAAACCAGAAGTGGTGCTGTGGCTCAAGTGGTAGAGCACTGGCCTTGAGCTGAAGAGCTGAGGGACAGCGCTCAGGCCCCATGACCGACAAAAAAAAGAAAAAAAAAGAAAGAAGGAAAGAAGGAAAGGAAGGGAGGAAGGGAAAGAAAGGAAAGGAAGAAAAATGAAAGGAAAGGAAAGGAAAGAAAGGCAGGCCCTGATCTAGCAATTCTCCAGAGAAATTTTCCTAAGGAAACAGTGTAAAATACAAAAAAAGATTATCTTTATGAAGAAACATCACAGCATTAAGGAAAATACAACTTTCTAAGTACTTAATAATTATTAGCAACATCAGTTATACACTGGTTATAATTATTGGGAAGATTACATATCTAGGAAAAATGCTTAGGAGAAATGCTTGCAATATGAAGGGAGAAAATAGAATTAAAATTGAGTATGTTCAGTGGTTTTATAATTACTTAATTACAAACTCATAGGAAAAGGGAGATGAAAACTAAGTTGACCTCAGCCTGTGTCAGTATTATTATAATAATATGCTTGTGGGATTTTTTTAACATATTATCTCAAATTTATAGATTTTCAGAGATGTGTTTATATGACATTTGTAACTTTAAAATTCCTTTTAAACTGTAACAAAGATGTAGAAAATTGTCAGCTTTATTTAATTCATATTGAATTGCAGTGAAAATGTTCCTGTAACTCTTTATGTTAAGAAGTGTATCTATAAACCATATTTTTGTGGAGCACTTTAAGTTTAAAACACCTGTACAACACACTTATATACTTATAATAGCAGTCTCTTACCTTTCTCCCATTTATCTGACTTATGCAGAGTTCTTCCAGTGATTTAAGTTGACATAGTTCAATAGGAAAATACATAAATTGGTTGCTTGAGAGGTTTAATTTCTGGATTCTTTTAAAATTATGTATCTCTGAAGGGATTTTCTGTAGCTGGTTATTGGAAATATCAAGTACTTGCAAATATCTTAAAGTACACAATTCTGCTGGAAAAGTTTCAAATTTATTATAAGATAAAATAAGTACACGGAGTGACACCATATTTGAAACAGATGGCGGAATTTTCTTGATTAGGTTTTTACTAAGATCCAAGTAATTAAGATGAATAAGAGAACACAGGTGTTCAGAAAATATGAGGAGTTTGTTTTCATTCAACTCCAAATGAAGTAGTTGTTTACTGAAAGATATATCCACAGGTATTTCTGAAATAAAATTCCCATTAAAAGTCAAATAATAAAGTGACTCTAAGGCACACAGTCCCACTGGGAAATACACTATTCTATTATAATCTAATCCAACTTTAGTTATTTTTCTGCAGTTTTTTATTTCGATGGGAACATGTAAAATCATATTTCCTGAAAATTCCAGGCTACGTATATTACTAAGATGCGAGATCATGTCAGTTATTTTCATCATATTGTTTCTGTTTACATGGAGTTTTCGTAAATTTTTGAGCTTCTGGATGTTTTTAGGTAGTTCTGTCAGTTGATTATCACTAACACTAAGGTATTCCAACATCCTGCAGTTGGTAATTTTCTCTGGTATAGCTTTCAATACATTTTTATCAAGTATGAGGATCCTAAGCTCTCTGAAATTCTCAATTTTGTAAGAAATATCTTCCAATAAATTGTCAGCCAGTCGAAGTTCTTTCATTCTGAATAACTGGAAGATTTCCACAGCCAAAAATGTAAGTTTATTGTGATCCATTGTTAGTTTTTCTAAATGTTTGAGTTCTCTAACTTCTTTTGGCAAACTGCCTATTGAGTTCCCATTGAGATTCAGTGAAAGTAAGTTTGGAAGAAAGCATAAAACTTTAGGAAATATTGTTAACTGATTATATTCCAGATTGAGAACACTCAAGGTTTTCAAATTAGGCATAGTGTCTATATATTCTAAATTATTTTTACCCAAATTTAAAGTTTTCAACTTTTTAAGATTTTCTAAACCAGAGAAAGGAAAATGTTTGATGCAATTGTTATTGAAAAGGAGTTGTGCTATATTCCCAAGCTCTGATATTTCTTTAGGTATAGATGATATTTGGTTGTGACTGACATTCAATATCCTTAAATTATGAAGTAACTGAATTTCAGATGGAAGTGATGTTAACCCATTTTCCTGCAAAGACAGAATCTCAAGTCCTAGAAGATCTGCTGGGTCTGCTCCTTGAAAACTTCTTATTTGATTCTTATTTAAGAATAGATACTTTACATATTTGACTTTTAAGATGTCCTTAGGGAATTCTTGTAAACCATGAGCCTCCAAATTAACTGTAAACAGATCTGAGTTTGAGACAAATCTTTCCTCATTTTCTTCAGAGACTTGAGGACTAACCTTTTCTATTGTCTCATCAGATAGTATTATGTCTGCAATCTCCTCAGTGGTTTCTAATGATGAAATTACTAACACTTCTGGTTCAGGCACAGGGCTGGTATCTGTAGGACTTGTTTCAGGAAACTGAATTTGTTTCCTTTTGTCTTCATCTCTGTCTCTTTCAAAGGAGGATGTCGACTGTAATGTATCCTCCACGGAGTCGGTTTCGTACGTCTGGTCAGAAGATTTCCTTTCCTGGTGATGAGAAGCTTCATTTAATGAAGTTGATCTTTCTTTAATAAATTGAGACTCCTTCACTGACTGTGATCGAGATTCTTTCCTAAACTGTGCACTTATATCTTCTATGTTCCATGATTCATCATTCTCTTCAGACATCATATTTGCTCATGTTTTACATCAATTAAAAACAATAACTCTACTTTTTCATATTTTTCCCTTTGAACCTACAAAACAAATGTTAATATTAAGGAAAGCTATCAAAATTACAAATGATTTGTGCTATAACTATTCTATAAGGAATAATTAATGAATACAAAGACAATGCATTTATAACAAGCTAATATTGAATAAGATTCCTGGTTAAATATTGCTTATTTATTGCATGTTTTTATCATATGATGGTTGAAATTACATTAAAACTGTAGAAAAAGAAGTTCACTACTCTGGCTCATACCTACAATCCTAGATTCTTGGGAGGTAATTGATCAGAAGGGACAGTTTGACACCAATCTTGGGTAAAAAGTTCACAAGACACCATCTCAACCAATAAAAAGCTGGACAAGATGGTACACATTAGTAATGCTAGCTACACAGGAGCCATAAATAGGAGGACTAGTCTTGGCTAAACACAAAGTGATATCTATTTGAAAAACAACAAAAGGTTTGGGAAATGGCCCAACTGGTAGACTAGCTGCCTGGCAAGTGTAATGCTCTGAGTTCAAATCCCAGTACTGCCATTTTTTTTAAATATAGAAAAAAGAGACTTTGCAAGACTTGCAGAAGAGATTAGACAGCTCTGAGTCAGAGAAGCAGCAGCTACAAGCTGAACTTCAGTCTCGAAATGCAGACCGGGTGTGCTTGAATAGCACAGAGATTTCAGAGAATGGCTCTGACCTCAGTCAGAAACTGAAAGAAACTCAGACCAAGTACAAGGAGGCCATGAAAGAGGTCCTCAGTGTACAGAAGCAGATGAAACTGGGTCTCCTCTCCCATGAGAATGAGGAGAGCTATTCACCTCTTAGTGAGGCAGGAATCACTGATGAGATAGATGTGCTAAAGCAAGATCTGCAGAATGCATTGGAAGAAAGTGAAAGAAATAAAGAGAAGGTGAGAGAGTTAGAAGACAAACTTGTGGAGAGGGAAAAAGGTGGAGGGATGAAGCCACCTGCAGAAGAGTATGAGGAAATGAAAAGTTCATATTGCTCTGTCATTGAGAATATGAATAAAGAGAAAGCATTTTTGTTTGAGAAATACCAAGAGGCCCAAGAAGAAATCAAGAAGTTAAAAGACACATTACAAAGTCACGTGACACAGGAAGCCAGCGATGAAGCTGGAGACATGAAAGAAGCCATGAACAGGATGATAGATGAACTCAATAAACAGGTGAGTGAGCTGTCCCAGCTCTACAAGGAAGCTCAGGCTGAGCTGGAGGATTACAGGAAGAGGAAATCTCTAGAGGATGTGACGGCAGAGTATATCCACAAAGCTGAGCATGAGAAATTGATGCAAGTGACCAATGTGTCCAGGGCTAAAGCAGAAGAGGCGCTATGTGAAATGAAGTCTCAGTATTCAAAAGTGTTGAACGAGTTAACCCAGCTCAAACAACTTGTGGATGCACAGAAAGAGAACTCTGTGTCCATCACAGAACATTTACAAGTGATAACCACACTGCGGACTACTGCCAAAGAGATGGAAGAAAAAATCAGCCATCTGAAAGAGCACCTTGCAAGCAAGGAAGTGGAAATAGCAAAGCTGGAGAAACAGCTCCTGGAAGAGAAAGCCACAATGAATGATGCGATGGTACCCAAATCTTCTTATGAGAAGCTCCAATCATCCTTAGAAGGTGAAGTGAGTTTGTTGGCAGCAAAATTAAAGGATTCAGTCAAAGAAAAAGAGAAGGTCCATTCAGAGGTGGCCCAGGTTCGAAGTGAGGTCTCACAAATGAGAAGGGAAAAGGAAAACATTCAAACTCTCTTGAAAGCCAAAGAGCAAGAAGTAAATGACCTACTGCAGAAATTCCAGCAGGCTCAGGAAGAACTTGCTGAAATGAAAAGGTCTTCTGAAAGCTCTTCAAAACTAGAGGAGGATAAAGACAAAAAGATAAATGAGATGTCAAAAGAAGTCAGCAAATTGAAGGAGGCCCTGAACAGCCTGTCTCAGCTCTCCTACTCAACCAGCTCCTCCAAAAGACAGAGCCAGCAGCTGGACACACTGCAACAGCAGGTCAAGCAGCTTCAGACACAGCTGGTCGAATGCAAGAAACAACACCAGGAGGTCATATCAGTTTATAGAATGCATCTTCTGTATGCTGTGCAGGGCCAGATGGATGAAGATGTCCAGAAAGTCCTGAAGCAAATCCTGACCATGTGTAAAAACCAGTCCCAGAAGAAGTAAAAGTGGATTGCTTGGCAGGACAGTACCCCTTGTTGTCTAGCTTTGTGTTAGATCCAGTTGTTGGCGACCACTGCCATTGTTCTTATTCGTGGTATGCACTGTGATGTAGCATAGCTTCTTTCCTTCTAAAGGTTTCTGAGGACTACTCTCAGGAGAAGAGGCCCTCTTCAGAACCGCTTAGAGACTTCACACCAGCAGAGGGAAATGTCCCTGACATCCTTTGAGATTCCATAGCTGGGACCCGCCATACCCAGAGGTCTGGTCCTGATGTTGGCCACCCTCCTTGGTGGGTGAACGGCTTCACAAGTATCAAGTGATCTGCTGAGCTTACCATGAAGTGACTGACAGCTGCTTCAGTGCCTGCCCTTCTGCTGTGTCATTAGCACAGGAGAGCTCTTTTTGCCTTTGGCTTCCAATCCCAAAACGTGATTTCATCTCTGGCCAAATTATTAGGACATTAGCTATGCCTACCCTTTATCATGATAATCCTGTGGATTTTTTAAAAAAAACTATACTCTCATTTTTCCCCAAGCTGCCATACATCTTATCACCCTGCTAATCACTTTATAACTTGATGAGTACTGCTCACTAAAATATGAAATCTAAAAATAAAAGCAAACTGTCCTTTAAGGGATCTTTCCTTTTTTAAGTAAATCATTGACATATTGCAAATTTTCTATGCAAACTTGCCTCCTGCTATTATCCATGAAGCTCAGGAAATCCAAATATTTGTATTTCAACAAGGGACAGTAAACTGTGTGTTTACAGCCAAAAGTAATGCCTCATAGTTCCTAACCTCAATTTTTTAAAGTGTTTTTTTCTCTATAGTATTTTTATTGGCTCCTAAAGAGGTTTTCCTATCTCAACCCCTAAATAAGTAAAATTACACTAGATTATATGAACGAAACATTTTTAGGTAACCGTGCTTGCCTCCTATAAAACATTTTCCCTCCAGGTTTTCAGCTCAACATGAACCAGTCTCCCCTCAAACTTGCTGCCACTGTCTTCTCCAGACTCGTAGTACATTTCTAAATATAATCGATTCTCTTTTTTACTGATTGAATATTTTGGAATGTCCCCACTCTACAAGTGGCCATCAATTACCTCTTTAAGGCTTATTATTAGTATCAGTCAGTTTTTCAACTTTGAAATAAAATCCTGATGTGGTAAAATGGTGCAGAGTGAAAGTCTTGGGGGGAGGGGTACTTCTGTTCACTTTACTTTTAGGTTATTCAGAAAGTGTTTCTAACTTGCTTGCAGCTTGTCTTATTGTATTGATCTTGAGGGAGATAAATAGAAGACTCCACTTTTAGTCAATAGCTGAAAGTGGAGGCCTGTTCCAACAGGGCCCATGTGTACCACAGGGCTGCCTGGCTCCAAGGGTGCTTGGCTCAACTGGAAGATGTGTTCATTTGTACTGGATGAGAACCAATGACAGCAAAACAAAAATGGCTTTAAGCTTGGTGGTGTTGTTTTAATTATAGTGCAGCAATTCCAAATATGCTCCGAAGAAATGTGAAAGGACTTTTTGTCACAACACAAGAAAATACAAAACAATCCCCACCCCCCTCATTCTGCCACCCCTCCCTCACCCTTGCACAGAATGCTGCAGAGTATAAAACTTGAGACATTTTGTAGGATGCCTGACAAAATGTATGTAGCCCTTTATCTTGTTTCAGGATGCATATTTTTTACAAGTACTCTGGTTAAATATTGAAAAGTTATATGCTGTAGTTTAGTCTTTCGTCTTTGTAATTTACAGAAATAATTGCAGAAAATAAACTTGTTTCGTTTTGCAAAAAAGAAAAAAGAATGGAAAAAGATCAAAGAAAATTAGGAAGGATACAAAAACAGCTGAATTTACCAAGTTTTGGAAAACAGAAGTCTATCACCATTCTTAAAAGCATAGAATTTCATTTAAAAACAAATATTGTTCATTTGGCAGGCAGAAATAGACTCCTTCTGTTTTTAAATAATTTTTAGTAAAGTTAAAAGGTCCATGTTAATTTGTTAATATCAGAAAGACTTGGATGAGCCGGGTGCTGGTGGCTTATGCCTGTCCTAGCCACTCTGAAAGCTGAGGATCGCGGGTTCAAAGACAGCCCTGGCTGAAAAGTGCCCATGAGACTCTTATCTCCAATAAACTACTCACAACAACAGCAACAACAAAATGGAATAGCGGTGTGGCTCAAGGTGATAGAGCGCTTAGCCTTGATCAAAAGAGTTCAGGGACAGCACCCAGGCTGTCGGAAAAGACAGAACAACAATAACTAAAAAGATGTGGATGGCCCTTCATGGAGGAAAAAAAATCAACAAAGCCCACCCTCAGAGGCGAAAACTTTTTTAACTAGAGGCAGAATGCAAGCTCGTGAAGTGCAAGCACCTTGGAGTGTGGAGACAGGGGAGAACAAGCCAAGCTGCAGGTTCCCAGGGAATGGGGGAGGAAGAACCAACCAAGCCCACCCTGGAAATCTCAAATCCCAGCGCGGGGCTCACCTGGGGCCTTCCACAGCCACTGTAGTTTCTCCTCCGGCCGGCAGGGGGCGCCTTGGGCAAGGACTCCCCATTGTGGCGCCAGCGGCGGCTGCCCGGCGCTGCCCTGACGCTGGCCCTAGGTCACGTGGGGACATTGAGCTGGAGGCCGGATCCCCATCACTTCTCCAGGAGGGGGGCCGCGTTGCAGTCAGGATGCGGAACCCCTGGCAGGCTTCTGGTCCCAGGTGCTGGCCTTGAGCTTCGTGGGATGCTGGTGCTCCCCAGGG